TGAAACAGGACTTGAATAATGTTATGCTTTTAGGGTCTGTTTTAAAGTTCTACCTGGGTGTTCTCTATAGGAGACTAAGCTTTCACACACTGTAGTCCATTAACAAAAATAGAATGAAGAGGGCCTTATTTATTTATGTGACACTTTGAGAGCTTGTTTGGAGGTTCTAGCAGGGGAGCACAACTACTTGTATACACTTGACCGAAGGATGGTCCTCTCCTCTATAGGGGAAGGTTGTCCTCTTTGACAGAGCGCACAGCTTCGAGAGGGATGCACATGGAGCGGTGAGAGAGGAAGGGGACATCCACCTAGCCAGCCAGATCAGCCGAATCAACCCTGGCAAACAATGGGGTGACAGATGTCACAGCCAAATTGCGCTCACATCCTCATGTGACACTTTGATTCCTTTTCTGAATTCTATACGACAACTGTGATCAGGTGTAGTGGAAGATATTTTGGAAAGAATCCCCGATACACAGTGTCTGGAAGAGAAAATGATGACTTTCATTTTCCTGCATTTGAAGACCTCAACTCAAGATTTCTCATAAGGAAAGCATAATGACCAAATTAAAATCATTATAAGTTATAAGTTACTTTAAAAATAAGTAAGTTACCTTAGGTCTTCCTCAGGGACAAGAGAAACTCTGGAACTAACTTTGGTCTATATCTTCCCTGACCAGCTGGGCCAAAACAAAACCTTATCAAGGTCCAAATCTCTTGCTTTTTGGGTAACTCTGTTTCACCCACTTAAGAAACGTTTGGGGAGGCAGGGCCAAGATGGCCGAGTAGTCAGATGCTTCTGGTGGACCCTCTTATGATGAAGACCCAAAAAAACAAGTGAATTGATTATTTATGGCAGTCTGGGAGCCCTGAACATTAGACAGAGCTGAGGAATCAGACTCAGTGGCAGGGGGAGGGAGAGATGGTTCGGAAGCAGCGAGGAGTTGCCAGAAATGACCCAGTGAGAGCCTGAGTCCTTTAGGCCTGATCAGCTCGGGGGTGAGCGGTGAGGCAGGCAAGCAGCCAGGCTAGGAGGCGTGTTTTCCACACTGGGAGAGACCCAGTGCTAGAGAGTCTACATGGCCACCCAGAACCAGTGAGAAGCAGCCCTCAACAAAAGACGAGCACTTGGGTACAGCTTACTGTGTGGATCAAAAACATCCCGTTTAGGGAAAAACCTCTCTCCCACTGACTTCCCTACTCCCTGCTCTGTGCTGGGTCCCAGACTGGCTTCAGCAATTGCCATGTCCCCAAGGCCGGAAGTAGGATCCGTCACACGCCCTGAGCCATTCTCCCTGCCATGGAGAGTGAACAAATTAACAAACGGGAAAAAATAAACTGCCGGCTCCCCTAAGCCAGGAACCCAGGGTAGGAACAACTCCTTTGCCTAGGCACAGGCATAAGGGTCCACGGACATTGAGTGCCTTTCCGCCTGCATAGACTTGTGTGGGCCCATCTCAACAGAGTAGGCCCTCATTACCGCAGTACAACAGGGTATACACCGGAAGTCTAACCTCAACTGTTTCAGCTGTGAAGTGGCAGGTTCTTGACATTTGACACTGCTCTGACCATTAAGCAGGGTAGGGTCTTCATCTATCCACATCAGGGGCATGAGGACTGGTGGCTCCACTCATGCCACCTAGCCACCTGCGATAGGGGCCCATGAAAAAGAGGTGCCCCCCCACCAGTCCTTACAGCTGACAGCATTAGGTGCTCATAGTCTGGCTGCAAAGCCCACCCACCTACACAATCCAGGGAACAGGGACACACCTTCCTCCTGGACACTTGGGGGTGGCCGTCAGCCCCCTGCCTTGCTCAGACTGTGTCCTCCTGCTGCAGCCAGATGCCTGTGCCTACACCAATCACCCATGCCTGTCTAGGACTGTAAGGGACAGCCTACACCACACACCTGATGGCTATCTATCTGGGCACCTAAGCTGAATCCATACATGAGGAGGGGGCGGATTCCTGAGCTCACATACCTAGTAACAGATCTAACCACCTGATGACAGGACGATAGAGCTTCAAAGTGCCAATAATCAAACTAGCTCATACAAGCAGCCTATTTGGGCATACCAAAACAAAACAAGAAGCTAGGACACAGTAAGCAAACATAAAATAAATAAAGATAATAACTTATCGATGGCTCAGAGGCAACAGTCAACCTCAAATCACATAAACAGGCAATCCATGATGGCTTCAGCAAGCTCCCAAAATAAAGAATCTAGAAATTTTCCAGAGTAGGAAAATTTCTTGGAATTACCAGAGGCAGAATCAAAAGATTAATATACAGAGCTCTTCCAAGAAATTAGGAAGAAAATTAAGCAAAACGCAGAACACACAATAGACGAAATTAAAAAGATTAGAGAAGAGCATAATGACAAATTCACCAGGCTTCAAGAATCCATACAGGGACAGCAATCAGAAATCCAGAAGATTAACAATAAAATTTCAGAGTTAGACAACTCAACAGAAAGTCATAGGAGCAAAACTGAGGCAATGGAAGTCAGAATTAGTGAGACTGAAGATAAAGCACTTGACACCAACCTACCTGAGGAAAAATCAGATGAAAGGACTAAAAAAAAATGAAGAAACCCTAAAAATTATGCGGAACTCTATCAAGAGGAATAACCTACGAGTGACTGGAGTACCAGAACAGGGGAGGATAATGAAATACAGAGAGAATTGTTGAAGATTTGTTGGCAGAAAACTTCTCTGATATCGTGAAAGATGACAAGATAGCTATCCAAGATAATCATCAAACCCCACATAAGGTAGATCCCAAAAGAAAGTCACCAACACATATTATAATCAAACTTGCCAAAACCAAAGATAACCAGAGAATCTCAAGAGTGCCTAGGGATAAACAAAAAGTCATCTACACAGGAGAGTTAATAAGAAAAAGCTTGGACTACTCAGCAGAAACCATGCAGGCAAGACGGCAATGGGATGACATATATAAAGCCTTGAAAGAAAAAAACTGCCAAGAATTATATAGCCAGCAAAACTCTCTCTCAAATATGATGGAGAAATTAGGGAATTTCCAGATAAACAGAAGTTTAGGGAATTTGCAAAAACCAAACCAAATTACAAGAAATACTAAAGGGAGTCCTCTGGTTAGAAAATCAGTAACATCAGATAACACAGGACAGACCAACCAGATATCAACCCAGATAGGGAACTCACAAAAATAAATCAAAGCTAAAACACTGAAAATAGGGAAACAGATGTCAATATGTAAAAGATGACAACACTATAACAAAAAAGAGGGACAGAGATTAAAACAAAAAATGTCGACATAGGTTTCTCATATAGACAGGAAGTCAAGGTGATATAAAGAAATAAAAGATTGGTATAAACTTAGAAAAATAGTGGTAAATATTAAGGTAACCACAAAGGAATCAAACAATCCTACAAGTTAAAATAAAAAACTAGAAAAATATAAACACTCAGCAAACACAAAATCAACAACAATGAAAAAGATGAAAAGAAAATACATAAAGAAAAACGACTCACCACAAAAAATTAAGTGGAACAAAGAAACTCTGAACAACACACAAAAAAAGACATCAAAATGACAGCACTAAACTCAGACCTATCAATAATAACACTGAATGTAAATGGACTAAATGCACCAATAAACAGACAGAGAGTGGCAGATTGGATAAAAAAACAGGATCCATCTATATGCTGCCTACAAGAGAACACCTTAGACTTAAACACACAACAAATTCAAACTCAAAGGATGG